ATTACTCACACTTTTTGTTGGTCTAGCCTTGTCCTTTCCTGAGGGCAGGATGAGCAGTGACTTCTGCAAAGAAAGGCAACCTGGTTTGTTTGGAGAGGTAAGCTCAACTGCGTCTCACCCTCATATTACCGATGATAACATCGTACCTGAACTCTAGGGTTGCTCCCCCAATGTGACCGTCTGCAACTCCTTTGGCAAAGAGATATCTCTGATTTGCCCATTTGAGCTGGTCTTCGACGAGGCTGTTGAGGAGTGCGTTGACTACCGAATGAGTCCGAACTGCACGTCGGAGGACGAGCGGGCATTGAATGAAACAATGAAGACACTTGCAGGTTGTTTGCTAGATTATAAATTGAGCAGCACACCTCGATTTCGTGTGTTCAGATCTGCCGATTGGGCTGTGCGAAAACTCATCAGAAGGTTTCCATGCTTTAACAGATTGTTCTGCGACTGTTATTCGTTGTATCTTAGGGAAGCCTAGGTATGAATCCCACCTATCTATCACAGTGTCTAGTGGGTGCTGCTGTCGCGTATAGAGAAGGTTTCTTCAGACTGTGTCAGAAAGAGCCAATATTTATGTCGAACATTTTGCAAAATTCTTCCAGTCTTATGGAATGCCCTAACGGACAAGTCTACGATGAAGAGAAGTCTCAGTGCGTTGACCCATCAGAATTGGATTCGTGCAATTCTTCCGAAGAAGAAGTTACGACTGACTTCACTACTGAGGACTCGTCCAGCTCACGACCGGTACTGGGAAATGCTCCAGGAGGTAAATGGCAACAAACTTTTTATTATTGCTTTACCTGCTCTACTATAAGGATGCGAATACCTGGCCGATGGATTCTATGAGTATGTGAACTGTTCGTCTTACTACATGACTTGCTCTGGTGGCATAGCACGCATTATGAGATGTCCAGAGGACTTGGTTTATGATAGATCGTATGTTTACCGTTTGAAATCTTAATTGAGCGCTGATTCCATGAGATCCAGATTTGGTGTATGTAATTTCGCAAGAGACGTGGGCGAATGTGGTGCTCAAATCGAGACAGCTACTGGTTTGTGAATTCCAGATCGCTGCATGCTGCCCGAGTCTCACATCCATTGTTTTAGAAATGTGCAAAAACGACGGCTTCTTCTCGTACGGAAACTGCTCGGATTTATTCTACGCATGTACAAATGGTAAGGTACAAAAAACTTCGCACATCTAAGAAAACATTGCAATTTAAGGACGTCAGATTACTATGCATTGTCCTGCTAATCTGGTATTCGATGAGGCAAAGCAATCATGCGAGTATCCTGAAACTGTCGATATATGCTCTGGAAATTCAAATGGAAGTTCCGGAGACGAGTCTGGCTTTGGTGAAGCTTCTGGAGAAGAATCTGGGTCTGGCGAAGTTTCAGGAGAGGAGTCTGACTTCCGTGAAATTTCTGAAGAGGGCTCCGCCGCCTCTGGAGAAGAATCTGGTTCCGGTGAAATTTCTGGAGAAGAATCCGGCTCCACCGAAGCTTCTGGAGAAGAATCTGGGTCTGGCGAACTTTCAGAAGAGGAGTCTGGCTCCGGTGAAATTGCTGAAGAGGGCTCCACCGAAGCTTCTGGAGAAGAATCCGGCTCTGGAGAAGTCTCAGGAGTGGGATCTGGTTCCGGCGAAGCATCTGGAGAAAGATCTCTAAGAAGTTTGAAGGAATTTGGAGAAGTTTCAACAGAGGAATTGAGCTCTACTGCAAAAACCTTAGCGGGAGAATTCGCTGGCGAGATATCTGGCGAATTTTCTGGCGAAATCTCAGGAGAGTTTTCCGAGGCTTCAAGTGATTCGTCATCCGGTGAAGTATCTGGTGAGCACTCTGAACACGCTTCTGGCGTATTTTCTGGCGAAGCATCGGGCGAATTTTCTGGCGAATTTTCTGGTGAATTCTCTGGTGAAGCATCGGGCGAGTACTTGGGAAACGCATTAGCAGCGTTTTCGGGCGAGTTCGCAGGAGAATTCTCGGGGACGGCAACAGGCGATTTTGCAGGTGAAGCTCAAGGGCACTTCCGCGGTGGAGCCGCAGGAGGGATCTCAGGCGATTTCAGTGGTGAGGCCGAGGGCCATTTCTCCGGCCAGTTTTCAGGAGAATTCTCTGGTGAAGCTGCAGGACAACAAATTTCACGTCAGTTCTCTGGTGAAACGATCGAAGGAGAATTCTCTGGCGAGCTTTCTGGCAGATTCGTTGGAGACTTTTCAGGAGAAGCTTCAGGCGAGTTTTCTGGGGAATTCTCTGGCGAACTCGCAGGTGAATTAGCTGGAGAAATGTCTGGCGATTTTTCCGGAGAAATGGCAGGAGAAGTATCGGGAGAATTATCTGGAGAAATCACACCAAGTGAAGGTTCGGAAGATGTGGAAGCATCTGGGACATCGGGAGAATCATCCGCTGATGGCTCTGGTGAGTCGTCTGGAGCCCACGAAACGACTACGCCGTTTTAATGTGCAATTTAATGCGTCTTTCTCT